GTCTCTGTGATGAGATAGCAAACCACAATAAGAGCCAAGCTATCAACACAAATAGTCTCTGAGATGCTCAAAAAGGTTTAGTTAATTGCAGGTAAAAAGAGTACTCTGTGCAGGTCAAGGGTGTGCGTTTTCATCTTGAAGGAACTGGTGTGTGGTTTGGGGAAGAAGGTAGGAAGCTGTATTGTCTGACTGAGGTGGAAGAATGAGTGTACCTTGGGGAGAAATTTGGAACGGGTATGTAAAGGGACCTTGTCTTTAAAAAAGGTGGTGTATGGGGGGGGGATCAGCCATTAGGGCTGTGATCTCTACCACCCGTCTTGCTGAGGTAATAGCTATGAGGAAAACAGTTTTTATGGATAAGTGTAATACTGAGGTGGTGGCCACTGGTTCAAAAGGCGGCTGAGTTAAAGCATTCAGTATTAAATGCACGCCCCATGGTTGTGTTGGTTGATTGATATCTGGATAAAGTGCCCAAAGACCCTTTAAAAACCTCTTGGTGAGTGGATGTGCAAATATGGATGAGTCGTCTATCTTACAGTGGAAGGGAGTAAGAGCAGGAAGATGAACTTTAATGAAACTTATTGCAAGGCCCTTTCATTTAAGGTACAGAAGGTAGTCGAAGATGGTAGGAAAGGAGGATATTAAAGGAGCTACCCAGTGGTGTACTCACCACGTTGAGAATCTTTTCCATTTCTGAAGGTAAGTCTTATGGGTGCTCGGTGTCCTACTGCATAGAAGGACCATTTGTACTTGTTCTGAGCAAGTCAATTTTATCACAGAGAATGATCCAGGAGCCACGCCTTCAGGTGTAGTGAGTGGAGGCCTCAATGAAGAAGGAGATCCTCGCTGTAAGGTAGGTGGATTGGTAATGCGCAGGACATAGCCATTAGTAAGGGTAGCCATTAGTAAGGGTAACCATGGTTGGCATAGCCATGCTGGAGCTATAAGTATTAGATGGGTTTTGTCTCTCTTTGTCTTGTGGACTACCCTGTTCAACAGGGGTATGGGAGGAAAAACGTACATTAGGCAGGATGTCCAGCTGATGAGGAAGGCATCTCCCATTGATCCCTTGCCAATGCATCCCCTGGAACAAAATAGGGGACATTTCTTGTTGGATTGTGTGGCAAGCAGATCTATGGTGGGGTGACCCCACTGTCAGAAGATGTCCACCAATATGTGTGGATTCATAATTTATATTCATGTTTGGTTGGGAACACTCTGCTGAGTACGTCTGCCATTGTGTTCAAGGTGCCTGGAAGGTGCATTGCGGTAATATTTATCTTGTATTTTAGGCACCAGTTCTAAAGTGCTATGGCCTCTGTGCAAAGTGCTTGAGATCGGGCTCCACCCTGAAGATTTATATAAAACATTGCTGAGACATTGTCTATGTACAGTCTGACATGACTGTTGGTGATGAATGGAAGGAATTTGATGCATGCATTCCTGACTGCACAGAATTCCAGGACGTTTATGTCTAAGTTCTTGTCTCTGCTGGACCACAGACCCTGGCATGTGTTGTTGTAGATGGGTGCCCCATCCTGTACGAAGTATATCTGTTGTCATGGAGACAGACAGTTCTGGCGGGTGGAGGGGGACTCTGGAACAAAGGTTCTGTTGACTTAACCACCAATGTAAGGACTCCTTGACTATCATGGGGAAAACTAGGGATTTGGATAGTGGGTGGCTATTGGGTCTGTAAACCTGTTCCAGTCAGCTCTGTAAGCATCTCACGTGAAGGCGAGCATTGTTGACAATGAAAGTGCACACTGCCATGTGCCCCAATGACCAAAGGCATTCAAGTGCCGTTGTGTAGGGGCTGGATCGTAAGGTGTTTACCAAGGCCACAATTTTTTGGAAATGGTTCACAAGAAGGGATGTGGTAGCCCTTGTTGAAGTGAGACACGCTCCTATAAATTGTATCTTTTGTGTAGGAGACAGTGTCGATTTGGCTTCGTTCACTTGCAGCCTGAGGTGTTGGAACAGGTGTCTTGTAACTGACAGAGAATGGCAGGAATAGTTGTGTGAGCAAACCTTGAGAAGGCCATTGTCCAAGTAAGGAATTATGATACTACTTTGTTTTCTCAGATATGCAGTGACAACCGCCAGAACGTTTGAAAAGACTCTCGGGGCCATAGAGTCCAAATGGAAACACCTTGTATTAGTAATGTTGAGATTCTACAACAAAATGAAGAAAACATCTGATCAGGATGGCTGGCAATGTGAAAGTATGCATCTTGCAAGTCGAAGGACGAGACTCATTCATCCTGTTTCAACTCCAGTAATATAGTAGCATGCATTATCATCTTGAATTTTTTTTTCTGAATGAATTTATTGAATCTTGTGAGAGTGGTACCTGAAGGGAGACCAGGAAGCGAGGTGGGAAGGAGATAAGATAGCCTCTCAATTATCTGGAGGACCCTTCTGTCAGAGGTTATACATTTCCAGTTGTTA